AAATATATATTGGAAAATTATTTTCTCATCTTTTTTCTGACAATGGGAATGCTGCAGTGGCGATGCAGGCAGCGAGACAGTCTCACAAGACAGTACTTGTGAGAAGCTGCGAATTTTCTAAGCCTCCCTTTATGCCATAAAATTACAGAAAAAGGTTATCTGCTGTTCTCATCAGAAAAAATAAATTTGTTCCTTCATCAAGGGATTTTTAACATGTGACAGAGTATTTCATTCTACTGTCAGAATATTGTTGTTCTGTCTCAAACTTACCTTCAGATTCCTGCCTAATCTTGCACCTTTCCATTGCTACTGATCACTCCAGACACTCTTATTATCGCTTGTTCATTCAAACCCAAACACTCAGCTGCTTCTCCTTCATTTTAGTTCCTCACTTCATTAGCAATTGCTCTTAAATCCAAAACGTTTTATATTTTCTGTGGCTTCCAAGCAGTACTCTTCATACTCTACTCCTCTCTATCCATCTTATTTCTCCGTGCCCTTCCATATACAATAGCTACAAAGTCCCCCATCCACTGACTCCCTCTCAGAGTTTATCCACTCACTATTCATTATATTTCAGAGGATATCAATCCACTATACCTTGTTCACATTGAAAACTTCACAAGTTTAGCTGGTTTGGTCACTCAGAATTTTCTAGAACACCTATACTAGAACAAAACCAGTTGCAGTTATAGGGGTATAAGTGTACGTTATACAGACACATTTTTTTTCTTCTGTATAGAAGTTACAGTTGCAGAGAGGTGTAACTGCAACTCCTCCAGGGATGTTGAAACTTCTTTAGCTTCATCAGTAACTTCAGGTAGCAAAACTCATGTTCAGGGAAGACTTACATTACTATCACAGTTGACAGTGGGTAAACAGACCAAGCCACAGAATAGGCTCGATAAAAAAGGTGGCTGAGCATATGCTGTATGAATTCATAAATGAAGCACGAGGAGGCAGCCAAGAGGATGTTGGTAATAGTCTGAGCACACCCTTCTTGCAGGGCAACAGCATGCTGAGCTCCGGGGTTGACAGGACATAATATCCCTCATGCAATGAATCAGTATATGAAAAAAGTACCAAAGTCTTAAGGGTAGATTGAGAACTTCAGATACAGTAATCAAAATGAAACAAAGCTCTCATTTTCAAACACGTATTTATGATACTTTGATAATTATCAAGTTGTTTGCTGTAGGTACAAGGCTTTTCAATCTTTCCAGAGTACACCGATAACTGGGCTGGAAAATAACCCTTGAATACAAAGAAATGACACTCACATTTAACCTACATATGATTAACATCAGAAACTATTTGGATAGCAATATTAAAGTTTTCGTGCTACAGAAGACTGTGACTCACCCCCTCTGATAAATACAAGCAGCAGACTACATTCTAAGAATTGGGGAAGGCAATCCCAGCCTTCTTCACCAATGTGAACACAATG